TTTTTTCATGTCTATCATTAATAAATACATAATCACATGATTTTCTTGTGCAATTTGGAATAAATAAGCACTTGTAAATTTTTTCAAAGACCACAAATTGCACTTGCCCTATGGGCTCATGCAATTTTGTTAGTCTTTGAAAAAATTTACTCGTGCTTAGTTATTCCAAATTGCACTCGAAATCATGTGATTACCTATACTTAAATTCTAAGTGTGACTGGCATCTAAAAGTTTCCCCTTACAGTACCACCATTCAAGTCAAGTATAAATTGGTCATGAGAATTAAGAAATGTTTTCCAATTTATGAAGCACCCTTAAACTTCATATCGTCAAAAAATTCCCCTTATCATTACCATACAAAACATAAAGAGAACAGCATGGAGAATATGAATACCAATCATCATGTCTATTGTGTTACTTGCACATATAGCTTTACTTTTGAAGGGTACCACGTTGGTGCATGTGGTATTGAGGACATGGGCTGCACGTCACCAATAGAAATATATCATGTCAAGTCTGGAATATCAATGGTACATGTCAATTACCCTTTTTTTTAGAGACAGTTTGTTGAGTGTGAAGTTTGTAATGAAGATAAGGCTTTCTTGGAAGCACTTGTTTAGCAAAATTTGTACAGTCGTCACAGATTTTCTAAGTTCATTTTGTATCATTGTAGTGTACTTGGATGCCTGAGAATCAAAAAGGAAGTCTTTCCACTAATAATAGGGTTTTTTAGCAGACACTCACAGATGCTCCAAAGTTGGTTTTTATTGCAAGGTGAGTTTTCTCTTCAAGTTCTACATTGCCTGTGGCATGATCTAGAAGAGGAAGAATAAAACTGTAAAATTACATTTTAGTCCTTTATAACAAACTACAGAAGGATAATGCAATTGAAGAAATCAAGACATTTCATCAATTTGAGATACATTTACACTACACCAAGTTTTCATTTGACATTTAGTCAGAAATTCTTCAACCATGAACGAAAGTTATCACATCTGAGTTTCATGTAGACTTCCAAGCTGTCAACATTCTCAATGTCCAGTGTGCAACTTAAAATTGAAAACACCACGAAGGTATAAAAAAAAAAAAAAAAACCTAAAAACAAAAAAACAAACAAACAAGAAACTGAAGAATAATACATGAGTGCACTCCTCAGTTGTGAACTCACTCTCTGGAAGTGTAACTCCAGCTTTCTCGCAGGCTGCAACAGGATCTGCCATCCAAGCTTCAATCAGAGATTCCTTGGACCACTCTGTAATAACAAAAAACTGTTAGTACTATTTATAGACTTACCTCCATGTGACAAGATCCATGAAAAAATGACAGGTAATGAAAACTGAATTACAATCATTAACTAAAAGTACATTAAGTTATTTATTCAACAAATTTTATAATCAATATGTTTTAGACGACTAACCATGATCCCGAAGTAGCCCTTCAGCGGTAAACAATGGGACCTAGGACACAAACACATATAAAGGAATACTTGAATTAGATTTACAAATAGAACTATATAGTATTAAAATGGAAACTTAGATAAATTGCTGTCAAGGTTCCATTCTCACACCACACAAACTTCAGTGATTTCATTTCATGTTGCTTTGAAGAAAGACTGCTCAGACATGCCCTGGCCCTGGTGTCTTACTTTATTTGCTCATGAGCAATTCAGGAATTTTAGTTTTTTCATACAATGCATACGCTGGGCACCCTGGATTTCACAGTTTCAGAGCACTGGCATGGGCTCCATTCAATTTTCCTTAGAGCATAGCCTTGGACATGTACAGTTTTAAAATGCACGTGCTGTGCTAAGGTGCTGCTCATTTTTCCACGTCCTCACTGCTGTCGACATCATGGTTTGCTTAAGATCCCTCATGATCACTCTGATTGTCCTTTGTGATCATACTAGTCTAAGACTGCTTTTTAAGGGAGGTGTAGTGGCCTCATGTTTAGTGCACTCAACTCTGGATCAAGCGGTACTGGTTTGCACCCTGGTTGTCAGGGACATTGTGTTGTGTTCTTAGCCAAGACACTTTACTCTCACAGTGCCTCTCTTTGCCCAAGCATCTAAATGGCGAATTAAATGTTGGGTGGTAACCCTGCAATGGACGAGCATCCCATCCAGGGGGGAGTAGAAATACTCCCAGTTGCTTCATGCTACAGAAACTGGAGTGAAGCACCAGCCTGATGGGCCACTTAGCTGAGAAAGAGACTTTACCTTTTAGTCTACTTTTGTTTTTTCTGAAACTAAACTGAAAAGTGTATTTTAACTAGTCTGTAAGTAAAGTAGATATTAAGCTTACCCTAAGCATATCTGCAGTTTCTACAAGCATCTGATCCTTTGCTTCTTGAAGGTCTTGAGCACATAGACCTCTGTACTGCTTCTAGCATTCAGATTAGAGCCAATTCACATAATGATTAAACATGTTCAGGTTAGAGCCAATTCACAAAATGATTAAACATGTTAACATCACTTAACTTTGGTTCTACATGTGAATACTCTCTAAACAGAGCCCCTAAATATGTTATAGGTTATGTTCATCCAGATATTAGAATAAACTTACAGGAGTTGTAAAATGTCAGACTTGATCTGTTGAATCTGTTTTTTAATTTATTAAATGTGTTTCAATCTGTATAACGTGACTCGTCTGGTTTGAAAGATTTGCAGAATTGATGGAAACATGACAAAAGCGAAATGCCAACAACAAACTAAAGCACATGGTATATATCATATAATTTATGCAAATTAACCCAGTAACATGCAGGTGGGCAAAAACTAATCTACTAACAGGAGTTTGTGAATCTTAAAAACTCAAGCCTACATTTTCATCATTTTGAATTCACTTAAACTGATTTTCTCTATCTTGTCCCTTCAATAATACCATAGTCTCTTTCACATGTTTACTATCTTTCTGAACAACTTTTTTGCAGCTGCTTTTTCATTGAACAATGGAGTAACTGACTCAATTGAATAATTTTTTTTCACTGTGCAAGTTACCTATAATTTTTAATTGTTACAACTATGCAGTTGAAATATTCCCTTCTCATATCATTGTAACCAGAAAATTTGACCTCACCAAAAGACTCAACATTAAAAGAGAAGGTGAGGGGGTGTTGACAGAACTTAACAAAGGTTGTGGCATGTATATACATGTACTTACCATTAACTTTTAAGGAAAATACTGAAAAACATTTCCTTACAACTTTTTCTGCATTTAGAGAGTTTTTTTACGGCATATGAAGAATATAAATAAACATAACTTTAATTCTGTTCATTGCATACCTGGTCATCTCTACTGATGAAGACAGGCTCTTCAACTGTATTGGCACTTGGAGACTCTTGCTGGTAAAGAAAAAAAAGATTGGATAGTTCACTTTGGGTATTGTCATGAAAACAGAAGGGTTCCAGCACCAGCTCACCAACACTCTTAAAACATCTTCTCCTTTAAACCATACCATATACTGTACTTACAGAGAAAACCATCCTTGATTCCAAGAAAGCAGCAATAGTGTTAAATCCTTTTTTAATGGCGAAGTCACAAGCAGTTTCCCTGTTCTTGTTTTCTTCATAAAGTGATGCTCCATTAGCAACCAAAAACTTCAGAATAAAAGAATAAGATCAAGATTAACCCTTTATTGTCTAGAAGTAAATGTAACTTATCCCGATAATATCCATACATATGTCCACCAAACAGGTAATGAGAATACTAAAACTTATCATAGGTAGTTTCCATCTTGATCTAACACCAAATTCTTGTAAGTAATTCTCAAGGAAATGTTTAGCAGCTGGATGGGAGAATTGATAATCAGGTCTTCAGAGTTTAAAACTTGTACTTGTCTTAACTTAGTTTCCTAAATTGTCCTAAGTTTGTTGCTTACGTAGGGAAAAAAAGACAGATTTTTGTCTGAAAGAGCTAATGGGAGCTTAAGAGAATTTCTGGGATTACTAAGAGTTAAAAGACCAGGGGCCTGTTTCTCGAAAGTCCCGGTAACTTAGTAGGCCCGAGGCCATGTTTTAAAATAAAAATTCAAAGGATATGAAAGCAGGTTCTGGCTCCCAAACCACTCCATTTTGTTTCTTTAGTTGATGGTTTCATTTTGTTGTTTTCAAAACTTTTGAAATTCCCATCCTGAATGAAAACGGAACTGCTTTATGGGTCCGTTAAGTTACCGGGACTTTCAAGAAACGGGCCCCAGGGCCCAGTTGTATAAAGGGCGGATAGCGCTCTCCAATGAATAAATTGCTATCCAGTGGATAAACAATAGCAAAAGGTACTGCACTATCCACCGGATAGAGATTTATACATTGAATAGCATTGTCCAACCTTCGAACAACAAGGGCCAGGTGGCTTACAAATTAAAGAAAGTATTGAATTATTTATGCAATAGACTACACTGTCTATCAGTTCACCGGCTGAATAACACGTGTGGGCTGTAAGGAGATCACCAGAAAAGCTTTAAAATCACAAGTCAGAGGCAATGGCTTTTCTCCCAACATCTCATGTAGGTTATTGCACCAGTAAACTGATAGAAAGTGGGGTCAACTGCAGCTTTATAACATAAAGTTAAAACAAAACTCAGCATGTTAAAATTTCTATGGACTTACCAAACTGAGTGCAATAAACGTCAACCTAAGGTTTTTGACCAATCAAGGCTCATTGTATCTCAGTTATTTCATAAAAGTCTTTCGACAAAATACCTACCTGAACACACTGATATAGTCCTGAACTCGCAGCATAGTGCAGAGGAGTGTTTCCTGCCTGAAAGATTCATTCCTCGTCACGAGACAAACTTTACAAACTAACACTTTACATTTAATTTTTCTCACATTGATCATAAAAAAAATTAATTGACCAAGGGATAAGAGCTAGTCAACTGTGGGTCAATTATTTACTCATTAGTAACTACTAAATACTACTAAAATTATGCAGATAAAAAACAGATATATTACAGAAATGATAAGGAAATAAAGATGCTGAAGTGTAAATAAGAAAAGTAAAAGAAAAATGAAAGAAAACAACAAACATATGAAATACATATATATGAACTGCGGTTATGAAACGTATATGTGCACGATCCTTCGCAGTGAAGCACTATTTAAGCAATAGTGAAAATCAGACCTGAAAAAAAATTCAGGCCTGTACGGGATTCGAACCACTGACCTCTGTGATACTAGTGCAGCGCTCTACCAATTGAGCTAACAAGCCAACTGGGAGCAGGCCATCAAATTAATTCGACATAAACCCGTAGATGATAAATCAAACAACAAACATATGAAATACATATATATGAACTGCGGTTATGAAACGTATATGTGCACGATCCTTCGCAGTAAAGCACTATTTAAGCAATAGTGAAAATCAGACCTGAAAAAAATTCAGGCCTGTACGGGATTCGAACCACTGACCTCTGCGATACTAGTGCAGCGCTCTACCAATTGAGCTAACAAGCCAACTGGGAGCAGGCCATCAAATTAATTCGACATAAACCCGTAGATGATAAATCAAACAACAAACATATGAAATACATATATATGAACTGCGGTTATGAAACGTATATGTGCACGATCCTTCGCAGTAAAGCACTATTTAAGCAATAGTGAAAATCAGACCTGAAAAAAATTCAGGCCTGTACGGGATTCGAACCACTGACCTCTGCGATACTAGTGCAGCGCTCTACCAATTGAGCTAACAAGCCAACTGGGAGCAGGCCATCAAATTAATTCGACATAAACCCGTAGATGATAAATCAAACAACAAACATATGAAATACATATATATGAACTGCGGTTATGCAGAGGTCAGTGGTTCGAATCCCGTACAGGCCTGAATTTTTTTCAGGTCTGATTTTCACTATTGCTTAAATAGTGCTTCACTGCGAAGGATCGTGCACATATACGTTTCATAACCGCAGTTCATATATATGTATTTCATATGTTTGTTGTTTGATTTATCATCTACGGGTTTATGTCGAATTAATTTGATGGCCTGCTCCCAGTTGGCTTGTTAGCTCAATTGGTAGAGCGCTGCACTAGTATTGCAGAGGTCAGTGGTTTGAATCCCGTACAGGCCTGAATTTTTTTCAGGTCTGATTTTCACTATTGCTTAAATAGTGCTTCACTGCGAAGGATCGTGCACATATACGAAAAATGAAAGACTTCCATTGTAACAGGAATTAAAATTTGTTTATAACTACATTGTCAGGGCTCTACACTAACGGTATCCCACTAGCCACAGACTAGTAGAAATTTAGTTTTGACCAGTGGTTTTCGATTTCCACTAGCCAGTTTGGTTAGTAAATAAACTGAAATTATCGTAAAATCTGAGGTGTCACTAGCCACTGGGCTAGTAAGTTGAAAAGTTAGTGTCCAGCCCTGCATTGTAACTCCTTCCATTCCACCTTGCAAGATTTGAATTTTAAATTTTAAATCATCCCCTCACAATTGCTAAAGGAATCATCAGGTTCATTGAAATGTCAACTTGGTAGCCCTTGCCTTGTTAATTTGGTTACTTAAACCCTTCACTCTTAGGATCTCTTGAGTAATTCTCCGTACTGTCTACCATACAATTCTTATGGCATTAGTTTTAAGAATTTGGTATTGGATCATAATCACGTAATAATCTCCTACAAGGAGTTGATATTTTTCTCTATTCTCATCATTTATCTGCTTGACATTGTATTCCTATTGAAAGGAGAGATTCTGTCCAGAGGCCTGTTTATCAAAAGTCCCAATAACTTAATGGGCCCAAAGCCAGGTTTTAAAATCAAAATTTAAAGGATAGGAAAGCAGGTTCTGGCAACCAAACCAGTCCTTTTTGTTTCAATAGCTGATAGTTTTATTTTATCATTTTCAAAACTTTTGAAATCACCACCTTGAATGAAAACAGAACAGCTTTACAGGCCTGTTAAGAAACCAGCCCCTAGTCACTCATGGGAGTTTAACCCTTTAACTCCCAGAAGTGATTAACCTGTAACTTCTCCCTATAATATCCATGCATTATCCAGCAAACAGGTAATGAGAATACTCAAACTTATCAGGTAGAAGTTGTTATCTTGATCTAACACCAAATTCTTGTAACTAATTCACAAAGAAATGTGTAACAGCCAGAGGGGAGAATTGACAATCAGATCTTGGGAGTTCAAGGGTTTGAGGTTAAGTACAATTAATTATCAAAAATAAGACTAGTGTGGTTTAATTAAAACAATAAATTAAAAGAAGACTTAGAGCATATATGTACATTTGTACAGAGGACTGAAACGATGCATCTCTGAATATTTTGCATTGTATGAAATCTGAAATAAATTTATAATTTCTGACATGAATAATATTAATGTGAGACAGAGTATCAGCTGTCTGTAATATTAAGTTTCAATTAAAAATTTCACTATGTAAATATGATGTCAAAATTATTAAGAACATTAAATCAAACCCTTGACCTCATCTCTAACAATAAAGAAATTTTAATTATATTTGTGTCAACTAGAATTGAGTTTAACTAGACG